AACGAGGTACCGTAACAGGGGATGTGTTTTGAGGATTTCCCAATGGTGCTGGAAAGACTAACTGGAAGCCAAGGACCTCAGACTTCAGGTGAACATCCATCCTAAATACCAATTGTTTACCAGAGAAGATCAGAGAGGACAACCATAGAGCCTAACTCTTAATGTGGATCTCTTTCTAGCACAGCACACAGCCTCTCAAATTATGCTCACAGCACAGAAAAATAAAAGCCAACTCCAGAAAACAGAGTGAAGAACATACATGAAGACACAAGATGGCAGGTTAAATGAAGGACACACAACTGGACTGCCTACATGGGAAGAAACGAGTTCAACTTGGAAAACTGATCAAGAAAAAAACTGAATTTGTGGTATTTTAGGATGGGAGTTAAAAACAAGGAGTTCAGCATTCTGGAAAAGCTCAGATGCTTTTAATATGAAAAGTTTATATAGTGTTAGTTGTGGAAAGACTGAAAGACAGCTTGTTGAAGCAGAGCTAGCAGAGTACACAGGAAGAGAAGAGGCACTGCCTAATATCAAAACAATTCAACCGACAAGAAAAAGTCTGAAGTCATCTCAAATATTCAATTACAAGTTAGTATAAAATCCTTGTACAGAAAGGCCCCCAAATAACAGTGATTTTATTGAAGTGATGGGAATGGGAATTGTACTTTGATTTCTTTTTCTAATCTTCATTACACACATTTTTGTAAGATGATTATATTACATTTATAACTAAAGTTATCATTGTTGTTGTTAACTTTTAAGTTATCATTAAATAAAGCATAAAAGCAATGAAAATCAGCGAGGGGATAAACACTCGGGAAAAAAACCCAGCAATAGCACACCACTTTGGTTGATATTACTGTTAAGTGCCTGTAAGTCAGTACTGACTCATAGGGTCTCCAAGGAACAGCTGGTGAGTATGAACCGAAGACCTTGTGGTTCAAACCGACCAGTGTTTACCCACAGCATCACACCGGGACTCCCAGTGGTGATTGGCAAATAGTGTATCCTACACAAAACAGCATTTTTCTAACTAACACAAATTGTGGTCTAGAAGTAAGCAAGGAAAAGCTAGGTTAGGTGTCAACGATTGACTTCTGTCCCCTCCAAAAGTGTGCCAGTTTGTCTAGGCCACGATTCTGAGAGGTTTGGCAGTTATGTAATGATGTCATGTGGTCATTATGTAACAATGCAATCACCCCATGACATGTTCTGATGTGGTCAGCTCTGATCTGATGTAACTATCTTCTGCATTGTAAATCTTCCCTTCTATAATGAAGACGGATGAAACCAACAGGATTAGGTTGTATCTTGAATCCATTTCTTTTGAGAAATAAAAGAAATTAAAGAAGTAAGCAGAGCTCAGAGGGATCTAGCACTGCCAAGTAAGAGACAGGAATGGAGTATATCGTCTTTGGCCCTGGGTACCTGCTACCAGGTGAAGTTACCAGGTTGAGGGGAAGTTGATGCCAAGACCCATGAAGAAAGATCACTAATGAATGTTGGGCTCACAGATGTTGAAAAGACAAATGAGAAAACAAGGAGCTCTGGTATCGTAGTGCTTACGAGTCAGAGACTGCTAACCTCAAGGTCAGCAGTTCAAAACGACCAGCTGTTCCATGGGAGAAAGATGAGGTTTTCTGCTCCTGTAAAGATTTACAGCCTTGGAAACCCTATACAGGGTCACGATGAGTCGAATCGACTCCACGGCACATAACCACCACCTCCGACCAAACTGTGAAGAATAACTTGCTGTTTGCTGAAGTCCACCACTTGTGAATTTCTGTTATAGCACCCCTAGATCATTAAGATAGAGTATTTCAGCCCCATCCCAGCTGGGCCTGCAGAAGAGCAGGGACTAGTTAACAACAACAATGATAACTTTAGCTCTCAATTCTTGAAACCACCAGAGAACCCCATCCAGCAAGTCTAGGTTAGGCCTGGGGATTGGAGGGCGTTGCACCTGCCACATAATCCCAGAACTGCAGTGACCCCGCATGGCCTGGAGCACACAAGCCCGGCCAGCAGCACATTTCGACATCTTCTGCCAGGTGCATGAGTCATTCAGCCACCAGGATTCATTAAAGGAACTGGGGCAGGAGGGAGGGTGGGTGAGACTGGGAAATAAAACAAAAACCAGACTTTAGGTTGTTGTTATTGTTATGTGTCGTGGAGTTGGTTTCCGAGGCTATAAATCTTTATGGGAGCAGAAAGCCTCATCTTTCTCCTATGGAACAGCTGGTAATTTTGAACTGCTGACCCTGAGGTTAGCTGCCCGATTCATAACCACTATGCTACCAGAGCTCCTTAAACTTTAGGTGGTCTGTAGTATAATGCTTGTAGAGACAGACAGGACTAGACCCATGTTGGTACTGATGCTAAGGACAGGTAAAATAATCTATCCTATTTCAATGACAGTAATGATTAGGTGTGACAAGAACAGTTAAAAAAAAAAATAAAGAAACTAAAGCATTGCACCAGGCTCACCAGTACCTGCAGTGCTGTGGGTTAATACACTGGACCTCAAGGTAGGTTTGAACCTCAAGGATGGCGGTTCAAGCTCACCAGCCCCTCCTCAGAAACCCTATACAGAGTCCCTATGGGTTGGAACTGACTCAACAGCACTTAACAACAACATGATAGTTAAGGAGTCTTGGTGTGGCGCTGTAGGATCAGCACTGCACTGCTAACCTCAAGGTTGGGGGTTCAAATCCACCAGGCGCTCCTGAGAAACCCTATAGAGGGTCGCTGTATGTCAGAACCAACTCGGTGGAATGGCACTTAACATGATGGCTGGGTTGGGGAGGACATATTCACAGACTAGAGAGTAGACATGTTAACATGGATGACAGGGCAGGCAATATACAAGAGGGAGATTTGGCAAAGGAAAGATGAAAGTATTAGGAGACACAGAGGAATGCAAGTGTTAAAGTAAGCAGAGATCAATAAATACTGTTAACTGAGGGAGTCCTGGTGTGGCGCTGAGGGTTAGTGCACTGGACTGCAAAGATGATCTGAAACACAAGGTCAGCGGTTCAAGCTCAGCAGTTGCTCCTCGGAAACCCTTTACAGAGTCGCTATGGGTCGGAATCGACTGGATGGTACATTACAACAATAACTATTAATTGATGGTACATGGAGGAGATTGCAATCATTGTAATGAAGCAAAGTATATGACTTGCTGAATGTAAAATTGACGATCTGTTCTGAAACCTTTACTCCATTCACTATAGAAAGATTTTTTAAATAGCTTGTTTTCAACAGATCAAGAAACATAAATCAAAATAAAAGGTTACATTGGTCACAGTCATACAAGACCATTTTCTCACTTCATGTGCTTTCTGTTTTATCCCAGAATTCTTAAAACACACACACACACACACAACCCCCCGCCCCAGGAATACCAAAAAAATAGCTGCGAAGTTCCTCTGGCCTCACTGTATAAAGTGATCTCATGTAAATCTAAGCCTGTTTCTATCATCCGTATTTCCCAGAGTTTCCAATGGGTCCTTGTGGGCTCTACCTGCAATCAAAGTTCTTAAGAAAGAGACTCCTGATTTTATCCCTTCCTTCACAATCCCCCAGCTCCTCAGGAGAGCAATCTCTTCCACACTTGGGCAGCCTCTCACAGTTGGCTGACCTTCCCACCCCACACATTCTCCAAGGGTATTATTAATAGAAATGTGTACGGGACTAGCACCTGTCCGCTGTGATACTGAAATCTCCAGCTGCTTCTAAAAGAGCACCTTACTAAAAGCACACCACCCAGTCGTTCCCCCCCCCCCCAAACACACACTTCCCTCCTCTCTACCCTGACAGTCCCTCCCTTCCCTAGCACTAAGAATATTTTTGGACCTGCTGTTCAAGCACTTCCACCCCTCAAATCTTTGCAGTTCCTCTTTTAGGAGAACTCCCATCTCCTCTAAGGGGCTATCAAGGAGCTGCGGGCAGCTCCTCCCCTCACTGTCTAATCTAGCCAGAGGGGATGGGAGGGGAGGTAGGAAAGGAAGCGGTTTGGATTTGTTCGGTTTGATTTTTAACCATTGTATTTCTTTCACACTTTAAAAATGGAGTCCCTACTGTTTTCTGGAGAAGTCTTACGTTCTGTTCTGCATATTTCCTTTAAAGTGCTCCACTCGGGAGTCTGATGGCCAAAGATAATTGTTGTTAAAAGGGAGCGGAGTCCGTTGCTGGTGGGTTTGAACCGGCGATCTTTTGGTTAGCAATCCAGTGTTTATTCTACAGCGCCACACCAGTGTCTTAAGCCGAACACCGCTCAACGCCCTGCTTCCTCTCAGGGGACGTAAGGTCACCAAACTGAGGTTCAGATGTGGAGGGAGACCTAAGGGTGACCCTTTTCACCTCTGCCAACTGACATTTTCCTCTCATCATTTTGGATAGTGACGGTTTCTGTGTACATCAGAGCTCTAGGATACAGGGTCGCTATGCGTGGGAACCGATTCCACAGCACTGACAAAGATGCAGAGGCAGAGAAGGCTAAAGGGGGGCCAGGAGCAATTTCTAAATTTACGCCCCACCCATCATCCAGGGAGAGGGGGTGATTCGCAGGCCAACTACTCTTGGCGCCCCCTTGAGCTTGCTCCCGGGGGCAAGTGTCTCTTCTGCCCCCATCAGCCTCAGCTGAGTTGTGCGTCCCTCCTCACGTTAGATACTCACTCACTGACCCTAGGGCTCTGGGAAGGTTAAAGTGAGTTGCTGGAGGAATCCCGGCGGTTCCCAACCGTGCATGCTGGGATACCACCAAAAAGGAACTGCAGGGACAGCGCTCTAGATGACTGAGTTCCCCCACATTCTCCTTAATAACCCCGCACCCGTCCCGACAAGACTCTGCCCAGTGGCGGATTACAAACTAAAGTAGACTCTTCAGACCACCTTCCCTCGCTGCGCAGGCCGCTGACAGCTTGTTTTACCCGCGGCCCGCGGAGCGCGAAACCTGCGCACCCTCTCATTCCGTCCCCAGCCAGGGCAGCACTCACCGTCTCCGGGTCGTTCTCGAACACCTCTCGGGCCTCCTCTTTGTTGCACAGTTCTTCTATGCACTCCCTCTCCAGGTGACCCTGCTTGGCTTCCTCGAAGACCTGGTAGGCTCGGCGCTGCCTCGGCCGCAGGAACTGCGCCGCCTCGCGCGCTCTCAGCAGCACCGCTGCCCCGCGACCCGCGCGAGCGAGGAGGGGATGCGAGAGCAGGCAAGGAAGGAGCGGGGCAGGAGGCCAGGGGGCGAGCGGGGAAAACAACAGGAAACAAGGCCATTAAGCCGAGCTCCACGCTCCTCGGGCCCCCGCACGCCCCACTGCGGACACCGACTCGGTGCCCTTGAGCCCGGGATGATGCGGCGGGGCGGGTGCTCGGGGCGCGCCGCAGCCTTCCGCGGCTCCTTCGGCTGCCGCAGGACCAGCTCGAGAGCGCGGCGGCGGCGGGCACTGCAGACAGAGCGCCCAGCTTCCCGCTCCATATGGTGGGGTGGGTTTTTTTAGGGGGGGTGGGGAAGGCACGGGGTCTTCTCCGATCCAGCCCAGACCGGGAATGGAGCCGGGGTCGCGCCAGGTTGTACTCACTGTGCGAAGACTCGGTGACCAGCAGGAGCAGCAGCAGCGCGGTGCCCAGGGCGGCGGCGGGGCCGGGCTGCGGAGGCTGCATGGCGAG